TTTTTTTTTAAAAAAAAAAAAAAGAATTTACAAGGAGCAACCATGTGGGTTAAGTAGTACCATTAATCATTATAAAAATGTTGTGTTTGTTGATACAAGATTGAATTCATGCCACCTCCTAGTATTTTATGTATTAGATATTTCTCTCCACTCTTGATTATATATATATATATATATATATATGTTACATCATTTTCAGTAAACCGAATTAGGCGACGCTGACCACTTGATTATGTTCAGTAGAAGAATGATTGAAGTCGTATGGAGTAGGTGATGCCTTAACAGATCTCAAGGTTTTGACGTTAATTTTAAGGCAATCACTTGTCGGGTAAAATTCGTTAAGAACTGACATCGTCGTCGATATCTCACGTCGGTTATGACATGTCGGATTCGACATATCGGTTATAACTGCTCGAACCGATATCTATGACTCGCTAGGCCGACACCACAAGGCGGTGCCAACTCAGCACAACTCATCATTACACCTGGCCAAGTGGCATGTTATTAAGATGAATGGCAATTAGCCGTCGTTGACTATTCTTGTGTAATGATTACATATTAGATAAATGTTGTAAATAAATAAAAAAGGAGAAAACAGTTCTCCAGGCCAGTCAAGAAACATGTACAATAATATTCAGAAAAATTCTATCTCCTTTTGCCGCTCATACAAGCCTTTATCTCTCTATCTTAAGTTTATTACAAATCTATATCGATTATATAGTTGTTAATTCTCATTTAACAACAGTTTGGCGCTAGAAGGAGGGCTCACGTTTTGAAGTTAACTTTCGCTGTTAAAGTCATTTTCACGCTCGAAGCCATCATGTCGCAGTCTGGTCGAGACCACATAACTCATCCTGACCAGAGCCAATCGACTAATCATTCTCCGCGGCGTGCAACACCACCTCCTCCGGTCACGAACATCACGAACTTTCTTCAAAACCCGGAGTTTATTCAAGGTTTAACCTCGTTGATAGCTCGAGCCATGCCCAGGAACTCGAATACGGTACCGTTATCGATGCCGTTAACCACTAATCCAACAGAACATCCAACCCACACTCGTCATGACCCTGAAACACATGCGGCAGCATCCCATGCTACGTCGCAACCTCACCATACTTCTCCACGTCGAGAAGAGCTGACTCGTGTAACTGCTAACCCAATAACGAACAATCAAGCCCCGGAGGAGCCCCCTGTGCAGGAGATGACTGCTGAAAGTCATTCTGCTCATCACCAAAGAATTTCGCCACGTCCTAGACCCGTCTCATCAGCGCCTCACGCTCGTGAAGATTTGCGGCGCCAAATTGAACGAAATCGTCTTTCAAGACATAGTGCGGAGGAAATTGAAACTCTTCGTAAACGCTTGGCTGAACTTGAGACACGACAGAAGTCGCAGGAAGACTCTCCCCGACATGTCACGACGTCGGGAAATGTCATTATCGAGGCGGATTCCCCTTTAGCTCCAGAACTTACCGCAGAGGCACTTCCAGCTAAGGTAAAAATTCCGCAAATTGGCATGTATGATGGGACATCTGATCTGGATGCCCACTTGGGCCATTATACATCCTGGATGGATTTGCATGGTGCTTCAGATGCTTTGAGATGTCGGATGTTTTCGCTTACTGTAATGACCCGTAAAATATATTTTCCCAAACTTTTGGGATTTTATTTATTCTACTTATTTATTATTTATTAATTTAATCTTCCCTTTCAAGTATTTTAAGAAGGTAAATTATAGACCAAGATTGATTTCAAATTTATATCATACCATACTTAAGTCTCTTCCAAAAATCATATTGATCTCACCTTCCTAAATTGGCCCCAATGAATTAGTATAAATACCCTACACCCTAGGACACATTTTGACACAATTTCATCCTAGAGGTATTTTCCTCATCTCTTTTCTTTCTTTCTTCCTCTCCTTTTTATTTTTTTTTATATATGTTTATCATTTTTCTCCAACGCCGACCCCGGCCATGCGCCGTCATTCTGCCACCGCCGGACCGACCCTTGTCGGATCCATGTGCGTGTGTGTATATGGGTACGGTGGAAAACAAGTTGAATG